TATTTATAACAAATACCTTTTTCACACAGTCAAATATGCACATCGATTTACGCAAGTATTTTTGAATTCCTAAACTTGAAGCTCGTAGACATTTTCTAGACCTAATATTTGTATTTGAATGTATTAATAACATAACACATCCCATATATTAGGGGAAACTTCTTTTAATGTTCCTGGGCGAGTTCTCTGAAAGAACGTCTTATTTTTTTAATCGGACAATTTCCCGCTTTTTAATAGCATTGTTTCAGTAATTGATTTTACCAATACTGTTTTTACGTTTTTACTAGGTTGTGTTGCGACTTGTAAATAAATAAAACTAAACACATTATTGACGTCAATAATGAAAATTTGTTGTGGTTTTTTTCAAAAACACAATTAATTATTTATAAATGCAAATAAATGCCCACTTAGTTCAGGTAGTTCAACTATGTTTAAATTTAATAACACATATAGTTTCCTTAGCGGCCGTCCAAACTTGTTTTTACCCTTCAAATATTTTTTTTCCGATCATCGAATTCACTGTTCCCCTGACTTATGAAACCAGAGGACATTGCGACAGAATAGAACTGAACACTATTTCAGCCGACTATTTGTGTGGTAAAAACCAAGTCTAGTGATTCTCTCGTTCTCAACGAGATCTCGACGGCTATTCGTGTCTGAAGTATATTTAGACAAACATATATTTGCAAATGTCACATTACCTGGGTCGAATATCTCATATTTTCTGGGAAGAGTACTCTGGTCAATACGTGACAACACGAAGGCGCCGATTATCATCGCTTTCAATATTCTCATTAAACAGGAGAACACCCCAAGAAACGCATTGTAGAAGAACATGAAGTACGTGAAATTGTGGAACAATCGCCTTGAAAACAATGAATGAGGTCAAAGTGCATTAAGACACATCTCACCATAGTATTTATCAAGGATTAAAAAGACATTAGAGAACAAGTAACTTGTTGGATCTTGAACTGTATATTTATATGGTTGGGTTGTCAACAGCATAAAAAAAAACTAAAAAAGATGGGAGTCTGTCGCACTCATTTTCACACTGAAACTCTTTTCAGCAAAAAGTGGTGTAACCTGGTAACATGTACCCTAGAATTATGGGATAGTATAGTTGAATATTCATAAGTTTGTTTAGTAACCAATAAAACTCAAAAAATGAATATCTTTTAGATGAAAATAATATCATTCATATTGAATGTGACTTTTATAGTACTATGCTTGCATTCGCCACCTCTACAGACATTTCCAGTACACTGCTGAAGCTCGCCACCTCCCATGCCATTTAAATGCTCTTGCTGGGACTTTCACTTAGAGCAACATATATTATTAATTGCTAGAACTCCCCACCGACATTTACACTACCTTGCTGGCATTCGCTACTACCTATATTTGCATAAACTTCACTCAGATCCAAACAATGAGTATTATTTTGAACAGGTTTTGGCACTGAACAAATTAACGTAATTAAAAAAAAAATAAATAAAATAAAATGTGCTTGTTGAATAGGTTTAACTTATTATAGTCCGTTCATTTCAGTTCCGGCATTTAGACTAAGAAACTAAATATAAAAATGAACCCATGGATTTTGTTTTCGACTTTTCAGCACAATAGTGCGTTCCTGGGACGGAATAGACAGACTGGACCTACAACCCCTGTGTCTCATTACTTTAATAAAGTTAGCTAATTTACATAATCACTCCGAAATGTGACAGAATTACTGATGCGATAACACAAAATGTAAAGCTAATTAAAACATAATTGTATTCATGTAATAGTTGTAATTTGGGGAAAAAAATTCCAAATATTGAATATATTCGAGTAGATAGTAGTTTACCTGTTGTCCAATGCAAAACTCTGTCCTTTGTCTTGAAGAAAAACAAACCTTGCCATGACATATTGAATAACAGTCACTAAAATACCGACTACTACAAGAGGTCTATAAAAAGAAAACAATGTATTACCTGAAGTTATATATATATATATATATATCGATATCAAGCGTTAATCAACTGTATGTTGCTACTGTGATACGAATGCATACATGTGGTAACTATGTTACTGTAAAGACAACACAACTACTCTCAGTAGTAACAACGAACAGTACGATGCATAAACACTTAAATATATCCCACTCCAGTGGCGAAAATGAACTGTCTGCTTTTCGATCATTCAGTGTCTAGTAATTATTGTATCGACATACCCAATGTATCCCAAGCCTTGTACCAGATATTCCCTCCCTTGCGACTCAGATAAAAAGAAAACAAATATCCAAATGAAAACAAAAAGCAAGACAGATTGGATGATAAATCCTGCAAAATATAAATGATAACATTTTTTTTTTCAAATCTGCAACATGTATTAGTATTCTCCAATGACATTATTTGCAAATTACTGTCATCACGTGCGGCAACATGACGGATTACCGTGCAAACACATACCAAGTTCAATGTCATTAATTGTACTACAACGACACTTTTGCAATGTTGAAATTACTCATGATCAATTTATGATATAAAAAAGTGGCAATCATATGATGTTAACATTCCAGCGGCATCGTTATGATACATCTATCATGAAGTAATTTTGGAGTACGGTGGGTTATCTAACGCTGAATGGCAATAATAAAGCCTGGGGAATTTCGGGCGTGGGTGATCCACAGCTGAAATCTTGAAATGGGGGTAAACAAAATCGGCTTGACCGTAAAAATGGGAGTCAAAACAGCGGGGAATACCAGTGTACGTCAACAATGAGAGTAGCCTCGAACCACACGCAAATCAAACAAAAGATATGGTTAGTATAGTACACACTCCGGTTCCCTCATAGTTTCCATTCTACGGCTGGTGTGCACGAAACAATTATCAACACTCACCCCACGCCATGTATGCCACTTGAAAACCAATATAGCGACTTCCTGATACCTATTAAGATATAAAATAATACAAATAGAATAAACAATAACAATATATAAAGAAAGTACATGTATTTGAAAAGTATATAAAAGCATTAACAAAAACAGATATAAAACGTCGGACGGGTATGCTGGAACTCATGGCATAATGAATAATTAATAGCATTATCACCCCCCCCCCACACACACACACACACACCGACGTTGTGAAGACACACACTCGAATAACTTTTAATATAGTTGAATTAAAATGCGACTCTATATAGAGTTGTATTTTAATTCAAGTTTAATTAAATAAAAGTTGAATATCCTGTGACTTAACATAGAAATGTTTGCGAAGCTTAGTTCAATTAAAGGGGCTAGGTATGGTATATATATATATAATACTAGTATATTAATATTAATATATATTGAACCACACCTTTCCCCTTTACTAAACCAGAGTTACCCACACATGACTTAAACTCGAATAAATAGTAATATAAATCATGAAACATTGTGAGGGTCGTGACAATTAATGTTGGTCATGTCGTCTAAGGTCGGCGTAAAGTTAAATTGAAGTCGTCACAATCTCATAACCAATTTCAAGTAATGTTGAAGTTCAATTTTAGCAACTTACCACTCGCATGGCAGGAGAAAATAAAAACATGCTTTGTCCATCAACGCTTGGTATTAGTGAATGATCGCCTCGACATACAGCAAGTGTGTTGTCTCTGTAATTTAAACATGTATGTAAAGGACGTGCACACGATGAATGAAATAAACAATGACGCAATCCCACGACTTATTCACCGCACACCATTTGCAGGAGTGAGACGGTACTCCACGAATTAATGTATACTGTTATCATTATTATGTTATTGTATGAATTCTAAATCAACATTTTTCAAAACGTTTCTCTACACTTTATTAACGATGTGATAGTCATACAATGTCATATAAAGAGAAATACTTGTGCTATGATGATTTTCAGGAGTCGATGACTTATGAAAGATGACATCTTCGCTAGCCAAGGTCTAAGTTTATTCGGCCAAGCCTCTAAACAGATCTTGGCAGAACGACCATCAAATATGCGTATTTTAACAGCGCCCCCTATAGTCAGTTGCGGCAATCATTGCCCAATCAGTTTGCGTGTTACAAATCCCTTTTCGGCGTTTTATTTTAAACAAAATGCCGGCGCTCGTGAATCGTGATATTTGTGATGATAAAATTGTGAAAGTGTTCGGTGTTGGTGCCGCAATTAGCCTATGCGATCCCGCACGGTATCGTGTCGAGGCCTACAGGTCGAAGACACGGGACCGTGCGATTCATACGATGGAAAGATGGTAACAATGCACATTTTGTGTCTATTCATAAAAAAACACTCTGTATGTTACGGGATTAGTTGATTTATCATATGTGTAACCGAAAAACAACTAGCTTTATATTTGAGTTACATTCATAAGAGACCCCTACTCAAAATGCAAGATAGTTTGCACATTGGCCAGTTTTGTTGACATGGGAAGATTCTCATTACACAGGGAGTAAGTCAGTTTGCCTCAAATGGAATGCCACAGTCAGTTCATTTGAAAACTGGAAGCCGGAAGACGAATGTAATACATCACCTACCTGTATTTCTGAAGCATATGTAACATTACACATATGGACACTATAAAAGCCAGCACGAGTGACGATATAGCACACGCTGTAACGTAACCACAGGTAAATATGTTATTATCAATACAATTGAAGTATATGTTTCCGATAAGCGCGGCCGTAATCTCATTCAATAATATCAATGTGAAATGGTATCCCGCACCCATGGGAAGGTTTATATGCGGAATATGAACGTGATATTTACCTTTGATATTCAAGTCTTCGCCATCTGGGAAAAATGCGTCAGTTAACAATATGGTAAACCAAATGCCAAGTACTAGGAACTGCAACATTACAAGATGATCAAGTTTGATGACGTTGTTTAGTTGACAAAGGGCAAGTGTGTATGTATGCTAAATCATGACGTAATACACATAACTCGGGATGCGAACCACTCACCTCATAGATAACGATAATGGACACCACAATAGTCGATATCATACGTGTTGAATATTTGAAACCTGCAAATTTAAATCACAACAAATATTTCAACAAATAAATTAAATACTGTACAGGATAACTAGCATTTTTGTATTCCTCTGAATTGACAGTATATAAGAGTGCCTGGCTATTGATGCATATCACTTATGATAGTATGACCTACCATAATATCCGTGACAAACAAGTCATTGAAAATGACACAGTCCCCGTTAAGTTCTCTTTGTGCTCGTCATATTAAAGCGGAGGGCTTGTCGCGAGCGTGTCCTTGAAACTTGAGTTTCAAGTGGCGTATACAACAGATTGTTTATTTACATCAAAACATGTGTTCCGTGTAGTAGTAATATGGCCAAAAATAAAAACAGCCGTTATTCGGCCATCTTTGATCTGATTATGAAACACACTGATATGCATGATGTATGTGCCAAATACGAATGAAAATGGTACATAAATTGTGGAAATATAGTAGT